CATGTTGTAATTAGTGCGCTATATTCGCCGAGGTTCGGGATTCCAGGTGTCTGCCTGGTCACCGCCGGCATCTTGGGGTCGACGCTATTGGCCGGAGCAGCAGTCCATAAAGCAGATGTTTGTGTTCGCCCATCTTTATTGGCCTCTTTAAAATCACTGGTTTCAGTGGCGCGGATGAATTGCGACGGCTGTGATGAAGCCACAGGATGCTGCCAGGCTGCTTTCAGTCGTATTTTTATCTGCCACCGGTTTTATGATGTTGTTTTCTTACAGCTCTCTTATCTGTTGCCTTTATTGGCGGCGAACACGCTGTATATCTGCCCCGGGCCGCTGGTACTGCACTGGCACTCCGGGCATGCTGGGAAGGCGGCGCGGGGTCCGCATGGACCTCGTTTGTCCCGGTGAATTCATGTGTTACGTCGCAAATGGGATTTTGCCGCAGTGACTGCGGCTCGATGCCTTGTTGTTTCAGAGATTTCAATTAAGTTTATCTTTCCCTTTCAACATCCCAGGCTGCTCCATCTGGGTTTTTTACAAGTCTCACTCCTGTCTTATTGTTTGCTCACTCTGAAGATACGATTAGTGGGCTTTATGCTGTTAAAAAAGGGATCCAGCAGTAACTATAAGAAGCCTGGGTCATACTGGAATTTATATTAAATCTAGCTAGAAGATGCACCTATTATTGGGAATAATTACTTAACCAAATGTTATTCAGATCCTGAGGGTTTTGCGAGTTAGTCGTCTTTGAGCCTTTTACATAGGTTCCCATGTTTGGTAACATTTTAAAATTAAGTGCACCTTCATAATGCATTCATAGAACATTCATAAGCAGCATGCAAGTACACCTTAACATGCTAACATCCCTTAACAACTTTAATATACAAATATGTTTGCTTGTTATTATTGTATATTACAACTTTAATATACAAATATGTTTGTTTGCTATTAATGTATATTACAGCTGTTATGGGATGTTAGGATGTTTATGAATGTTTTATGAATGCTTAATGAATACATTATGAAGGTGCACTGAACGTTTTATGAATGCAATATAAAAGCATTATGAAGGTGCGGTGAATGTAAAGCGTCACCCCATGGTTTGTGCAAAGGAGGAGCTTTGATGGAGGTTCTCAGAATGGTGATCCCGGCAGGAATCTCCCATGGCCCGGCCACAGTGCTAACATGGGCCGGGTAGCAGCGCAGGAGGGAGCGAAAACATGGGCTGAGCAGCAGCGCAGGAGGGAGCGAAAACGCGGGCCAGGCAGCAGCGCAGGAGGGAGCAAAAAAGTGCCCCTCCACCCCCCTTGGGGTCCCCAGGACCAGACTGAGAAACGCTGCCTTAGAGGTGGTTTGAGTCAGTCCCAAACAGGAGGCTACATTCAGGTATCCTCAGCTGGGTAAAGAGAAATACTGACAAGGCAACAAGATTACAATCTGTGCCACTCAAAGCAGGCCTTTAAAAAATATGCGTTACAGTACACAGTAATAATGTGACTATTACCGCATGTACATTTAAAAAATGGACAGCAGCTGGTCAGTGAGAGATTCTGAGTTTGTCCCATATGTCTCTGGGTATTGGGAGTCACCTGGGTGTCGCCTCACTGATGAATGATTGGCGGTGTGGGAGGAGTATGTGTGTATGTGTTTGTTCATGTGTGCATGCATGTGTATGTATGGGGTCATGTATATATTACGTTGTGGGGACCAAATGTCCCCACAACATGATAAAAACCTCTTATTTAGGCGTTGTGTTGACCATTTTTTTGGTCTCCATAAGGGGGAATTTAATTTCATAAAAACCTGTGACTGCAATCAAGAACCTAAAAATGCCAAAAGTCTTGTATTTTGTTTGGTTACTTATGGTTAAGGTTAGGGCTTTGTAGGGGTTAAGGTTGTCATTGTGGAGACTAGTTTTTTGTACTGTATGGGTTTTTGGCCATAGAAATGAATGGAGTCCCCAAAAAGTGCAAACATGCATGTGTGTGTGTGTGTGTGTGTGTGTGTGCATGTTTGTTCATGCATGCATGTGTGTGCCTATGGGTGTGTGCGCATACAGAGCTGCACTGGGCGTCTGACACCCCCATTGCCACTCCTGTATTAATGCTACTGCCTGGTACAAACCCACAACCCCCCCCCCCCATTACCTGCCTGCCTGGGGGAGCTTTGCTGTCCCGGAGTTCATTTAAAGGACGCCGCCATCTCCTCCTCTCTGCCGCAGCGCAAGGACAAAATGGCGGCCCACCGCCACGTCGGCTGTGCTCGGCGAGGGTGACATATGGCTGAACATACCCGAAGCCGGTGACTGGCACGTGCCATCGCAAGGCCATATGCCCCCAATGCGAGACTGGCATGCGGACCGTAATTAATGGCTCGCCGTCGACCGGTGCTATCTGATTCTGTGGTGTAATTAAAACGTGTCGGCATGGCGCTGGTAAGGGGGCGAGGGCAGCATGAAGAGCTTTGCAAAGGAGTGCCTCTTCTCATTGGCCAACGGAGGAGCAGACACACTATTTATTTCTCACTCTTAAAGCCGACTTAACCTGTGCTGCCTTTAATTCAAGCTGTTTTCCAAGTCATAGGCCGGTATTAACCACGGTATTAGCATGGTATTAACCACGGTATTAACACAGTATTAACCACGGTATGCCATTGCTGTTTACTCTGCCTGCAAAGGCAAGACACTGGGAGCGAGAATGACATACTGGGAAGTAAATCAACATACTGAGAACAAAAGTGGGGTACTGGGAACAAAAGCGCTGTTCTGGGAGCGAAGACGGTGACATACTGGGAATGAAAGCAATGTGCTGGGAATGGAAGCAGCATACTGGGAGTGAGGGCGACGTACTGGCAATGAGAGCGATGTACGTCTCGACCAGGCAAACGTGGACACCTGGCAGCTGGTTTTCTAATGCTGTGGTGAGTTGACCTGCACATATGGCTGATTTCTGTACACAGAACACACACCTATGTGGAAAAGGGGCCATAAAACCCATAATAAACTGGCACTGAATTATTTTCCCATCATGAGCAGATCAGTATGGAAGATGGATGGATAATTAGCAGACGCTTTCATTCATACCTCACTTGCATATCATACAGTTTTACTCCTTTGTAGTGGAGATTTTACTGAAGCGTGGCGAGTTCATTTAGGCAGCCAACTCAAGGCTAAACCCGCTGCTCTCGTCTCGCTCGTCCACTTACAGTAACTCACCTTTGCACCTTGAGCTTTTTGCTTAAAGAGGCCTTTGAAAAGCAATTAGCTTATTAAAACACACGTAAAGCAGGACTTTCCATTTGTGCTAGATATTCTACTTTTGCCATTTATGATCTTTTCTTCTTAACCTCAAACTTGTCCTTGTCATTTTTTTTCCATATGTATTTTTTGTCAATTTAAATAGCGTTTATGAATAGTTAGAATTGTTTTCCCATCTTGATCAGATGTGCAGTAACCTTTCGGTGCCACCGGGGAAATCCAGCCCTCCGCGGGCCGTCCTGAAGCCAGGCGCTGGACCGGCTTTGGCCTCGTCTCTGGGGAGGGCTTGAGCTCGGCCCTCCAAAGCCTTGGAGGAAGCAGGTGGCTCCCCCCATGTGGCTGGCGTAACTTAAAAGCCGAGCAAGCGGCCTGTGGATCGCTTAGACGGGGGAGAGCTGTGCAGCTTCGCTGGAGCCTCTCGCACTGCCCCGTGTCCCCACATACTCACCAGCGTACTCACTCTTATTTTATTACTCCATTCCTCAGACAAAGTGATTCTCTGATTCCTTTTTTATTCCAGGTAATAAAGCCGTCACTCTTTTGACTTGCAGCTTGGCATCTTTTATGGTGCCGTTATTTTGCTTTTTTGCATTTTGTTTACATGGGGCAGGTTGACTGCCGGTTTTCTCCACTGATTGATTGCATCCACATAAAGGAGCTTCTGTTAGTTTTTTTGCCCCATGACAGCGCCCCCTCTTGTTAGTACATTGCATTGCACCCTCCTCTGCTGATTAACATACTACTGAATGAACGTCGACAAGGATCGACTGCTTTAAAAACAACAAATGGCACTTTAATTCCGGGTGAAAGCCGATACCCCCTATATATCAGGCTCACCTTCAGTATCATTCTGTGATTCTGTATATGACTGAGTGGCTCGTATCTTTCCCCATCAGACATTAATTCCTGGGATTTATACAGGCTGCTTAGCTCTGCCCCTCTTATAAAGTCCCCTGATCAATTTTTACATCTGTCACTTATGTGGGCTGCAAAAAAATAAAAATGTCTCAGACTTATCTGATCTCTACATCTGTCGGCAAATCCCTGCCCCCCGTCCTCACCTTATCTCCCCCCAGCTGCCTGCCTGCGGATGCCACGGTGTCGGGGGGGTGGGTTAATGTTCCTGCCTGCGCTAAATCTTGCTGTGTAAGGAAGACATTGCGGGGGGAGGGGGGACCCCTCTGGGTTGGAATGAAACGTCGCCCGCGTTGCTTGCGAGTGGGATCGATGTCCCCTGCATTATCAGCTGTGAAATAAAAGGGAGCATTTTTTACCCGGGGGGGGTGGTGGCGGCTGGTGGGCGGGGGGAGAGCAGGGACACTGGAGCGAGATTTATTGTGTTGCCCAGGGTTCGCCTCCCCAGGGAAGCGGCAGTAATGGGAGGTGGTGGGGGCTGTGCGGGGGAAGATTGTTCCTCCACCTGCCCATCTGTCATCCGGCGTATGAGGTGGCTGGGCCGGAAAAAGGGAGGGAGTGTCAAGGAGGACGCCACCCCATTGGCCGAGGACAGCCATGCGGCTCTGTTTGTGTTTTTTTCATGCTACATGAATGTGAAGCGTACGAGGTAATGGGAACAAAAAGAAATAAAATGGATCTGCTGATTGGTTAGAGAAAACGCATGGCTTGAGGGACCTGGGTGGGGGGCGCTGCTGGGGCCACCCCTCTGTCCTGCTCTGACTGCCACACACATTCAGCGCCTTGCTGTCTGACCCCTTAACCTCACCCTGGATCTGGTCTCTCCCTGCAGATCACCTTCTTCATGCTGCTGTCCGCCGTGTGCGTCATGCTCAACCTGGCTGGATCCATCCTATCCTGTCAAAACGCCCAGCTGGTCAACTCTCTGGAGGCCTGTCAGCTGGTGAGACACCGGGGGGGGGGCATGTTGCCCATGCTGTCTGTGTGTGTGAGGACCCCCTCTCCTCTTTTCAGAAGGGAAATGAACATGGACGTAGAGCCCCCCCGCCGTCGCATGTATGCCCCGATTTACGCGCCGCCGTTTTGCGTTAATCCAGAGCTTCTTATTGTACTCATTAGGGAAAAGCCGATGTCTGTGTGAGTAGCTGCCCTGTTTCACCTCCAGGGTTGGGGGTTTGAATCCCCCCCCCGCCCCGTGTGTGTTCCCTCTGGGAACTCTGCTTTCCTCCCGCAGTCAATAGACATGCCATTAAGCGAATTGGCGTCACTAAATTGCCCTCAGCTGCACGAGCGGTCGGGCGATCGATGTCCGTGGGGGAGGGCAGATGGCGTTTGGTACGAGGCGTGAGCCCCGCTGGTATGAGCTGAATCGTTTACTGTCAGTTACATCCGGCTGCTTAGCTGACACCCTTTCCTAAGGGACCGCAGTTTTTTTGCCTGTTTTTACAGCTCGATAATCATGTATAGCACCTTGTTCCCGGCTGCCATGGCAGCCGCTGCTCCATGCGCCCAAACCAGTTATGCGTCTGTGTCCTTAATAGCTGTGTTACCTGCCGCCTTCCCTCTGCCAGATGTATAAATAGTGAAATCCCAGCTTCCCACAGCCCAGACCCTTAACCCCTCGGCCGCCAGGAAGTCCCGCTATTGCCTATCATGACGCACCGTGAGCGGTCACTTTGCTAGCGTCCCCCCCCCCCGCCAAAACGGAGCACCTGGCCGCCCGCTGCGCTATTTAAAGCAGGCAGACAGGTGCCTTAGGGGCCGCCGCTGTATGTGATTCTCAGGAAGCATCCTCATGACTTTGAGGGGGGGACATGGGTCGGGACTCGTGGTATTTAGCCTTTTATTTTGGAAAAACATTTCTTTCATTTGTTTTTGTTTTGTGGGATCAGAAATGGACAAAGGCAGTATTGCCGTGCTGCGTCGACCCCCCCACCCAGCTGGCAGCCATGTCGCTGTCCGGGGAGGGTGTGCTGGGGGGGGGGAGGAGGCGGCTGAGAACACAGGGAGGGGGATCATACTGAGCTCTCCATTGTCGTGGTGACAGTGCCTTATTCTGCATAATAGACATGCAAAATGCCCCCTGAATAGTTGAGCAGTGTGGACTACACCTACTCCACCTGCTCAGTCTGCTCTGCCTGCTCCACCTGCTCAGTCTGCTCTGCCTGCACTACCTGCCCTGCTCCTCCATCTGCTCCACCTGCTCAGTCTGCTCTGCCTGCTCCACCTGCTCAGTCTGCTCTGCCTGCTCCACCTGCTCAGTCTGCTCTGCCTGCTCCACCTGCCCTGCTCCTCCATCTGCTCCACCTACTCCACCTGCTCAGTCTGCTCTGCCTGCTCCACCTGCCCTGCTCCTCCATCTGCTCCACCTACTCCACCTGCTCAGTCTGCTCCACCTACTCCACCTGCCCTGCTCCTCCGCCTGCTCATGCTGCTCCACCTGCTCTGCTCCTCCGCCTGCTCATGCTGCTCCACCTGCTCTGCTCCTCCACCTGTTCCAGCTGCTCAGGCTGCTCCGCCTGCTCTGCTCCTCCGCCTGACCCACTTGACCCGTCTGCTCCACTCTTCTGAGGCTCTGCAGTGCCACTCACAGTTTGCGTTTGTTTCTCCCCGTCAGTTATATGATTTTCTGTGATGGCTTAATCCCCTGAGGGCGTATGCCAGCAGCAACGCCTGTCAAGGAATCAGGGGTCTGTGAATCGATTCAGATGGAAGTGGGCCGCCCTGCCTGGGTACTGTAACATCTGTAATCTGATACCCTGCATCCCTCTGTGACCCCTGCTTTCCCGCGGTTCCTGGCACCCAGCTTCCCGATGCCGTCTCCTACACATTTGCTCTCCCTGACACTTTCTCCCGTCCCGATCGTCGCTCATCTCGCCTTTATCCTGGCATTTGGTCTGAGAGCGCGGAGAGCTTGTGTTTGAACCCAGAGAGCCTTGCTGGGGCCTCAGTTTCTGCACATGGGGGAAGGGGCTATATGGCATGTAATCAGTTTCATGGAGAGCCTGGGACAGCATGACATCTGTGGGCCTGCGCATCTCCAGTCACACTGGAGCTTGGAGTTCTGAGCCAAGGGCAGGCCCAGGTTCCCCAAAGCACCCCAAAGACAACGGCCAACAGTATTTAGCAGGATGGTGGCGCCGCAACACTTTTGGCAAACCAAACCCAGATAGACTTAATCTGCAAATTTCCACACAAGCTGCTCAGAAGAGCCCTTGCCGCTGAGGTAAGCTGGCTGCCTGTTGAGGTCCTACCTACACCAAACGGGAAGCTCACAGGATAAGGATCAAATCCAAGTGGTCGGAGGCGTGAGTCACAGAGGACTCTGCTGTCGTCCCATCGAGCAAAGTATTCAACCTGAACTGTGCCATTTAGGGAGCGTGCAAATGGATTAGCAGTGAGAACTGAATTATGTAAGTCACTTCGGATGAAAAGGCGTCAGCTAATTGGCTAAATAGATAATTATCTGTTGCCGTGGTAACCCTAAAGGGCCGTCCTGTGCCGAGGTGACCGCGATTCTGCAGAATACCTGCAGGGCCTGAAAATCCCAGACACTGAGTGACAGAAGAGGCTTTTTTCCCAGAGGACTCCTGCAGACACACAGTAATGGGGGAGGGGGCTCTTTGTCTTCAGCAGAGCTGATTTGGAGCTTGTCACTAGGAGGAGGGCAGGAATATTTGTTTTTTATCCCCTATACAGAGTATGACTGAAATATTAGCATATACAATTAACCATCATTATCTGTTACTCTGCTATGCATCTCCTTGGAGACCATACCCAACATGACTGAAATATTAATGCAGTAATTTCCCTGATGTAATTAAACCCTGCTTGTAAGGTGCCTGTCCTGCTTTTGTTCAGTCTGGGTTAAGTGATGCCCCCATGCACTTTTCTGATCTGTCACATGAGACGAGAGCGTTACAGCTCGCCTTCTGTCCCAGGCCGACTCTGACAGGAGAGACCGCCGTATCCTCCACGAGTTCTTAATTGTGAATTTTAAGTGTTTAATTTATGACTGTAGCAAGACCAGATGAAATAACCGATCATACTAAATAAGTAAATCAGAGGCTGTGCTGTTTAATTTCTGTGCTTTCAGGGTTAGATTAAATATCACTCTGCTGGAAGACTGAGGTTTTCACTAGAGCTTGTGTGAGTGGGACCAGAAATCATCGATTCATATATCTTCTGCTTACTGTGTTCAGGATCTAAGGGTACCTCACGCTGGGTGGCACAGTGGTTAGCACTATTGCCTCTCACCTCTGGGGCCAGGGTTCAAGTGTATGGCATTTGCATGGTCTCCCCATGTTGTCCTGGGCATTCTTTGGGTACTTCCAGTCCCCCCCCCCCACTTTGCACCTATAGGCTCCAGATCCCTACGACCCTGTATAGGACAAGTGGTTTGGGAAAATGGGTAAATGGGCACCTGGAGCCTATCCCTGCCTGGGGAACCCCGCCCCTGCCTGGGGAACCCCGCCCCTGCCAGGGGAACCCCGCCCTTGCCAGGGGAACCCCCTGCAAGCGATGTCTGTAAATCTGCTGTGCTTAGATGTAATTTTATTTCTAGGTTACTCTGGTTCTGTATTATAGATATTTATATGTCTGTGGATTATTCCGCAGGTAAAGGGGTCAGACTCATTTCTGCATTTTGCTGTGTGTGAGAGAGACACCCGAACCTGCTTTGTTTGCTGTGGGCTTTTCCTGCAGACTGATTCAATGCATAAATAAGCTGACTGTAAGAGCATAGCTGCATTCGTTGTGTTTAAGCGACAAAAACCACTCGTGTCTGGTAATAAATCCCCTTCAAATGGCAGTTTACACTGGATCAGCAGTTACTGGTTTTGTAACTTGTGCTGAACTCTAGCACAAATTCTTATAGTTAATACGTCACATAAAGTAATTTCATTGCATTCATGTGAAATGCAATAAAATCATCTAAAATGGATACAAAGTGAATTGTCTTAATTATTCAATATATGTTCCATGTTCACTCTACTTTTCTGTTCATACTTGTGGTTCTCCCGATCCTGTGTTCTCTGTGCCTTTGCATACTTGTGGTTTTCCCTGCTCTGTGTTCTCTGTGCCTTCGCATACCTGTGGACCTCCCTGCCCTGTATTTTCCCTGCCCTGTGTTCTCTGTGCCTTCGCATACCTGTGGACCTCCCTGCCCTGTGTTCTCTGTGCCTTCGCATACCTGTGGACCTCCCTGCCCTGTATTTCCCCGCCCTGTGTTCTCTGTGCCTTCGCATACCTGTGGACCTCCCTGCCCTGTATTTTCCCTGCCCTGTGTTCTCTGTGCCTTCGCATACCTGTGCTTCTCACAGCTCTGTGCTCTCCCCTCTATCTCAGATCAAGTTTGACAGTGACGGAGTGTGTGAGTGTTGCGAGCTGCAGCACCAGAGCTCCGGCTGCAACAACCTGGGCGAGACGCTGAAGCTCAACCCCCTGAGGGACTGCAACACCATCCGCTTGCGTCTCAAGGTGTGTCCCGTGTGGGTGTGTGTGACAGCGCCATCTGTGGGCGTGTTGAGGGAGGGGTGTTTCTAAGTAAACGTATCTGCCAGTATGCAATTGTGTATTCATTCAGTCTGTGCTTCTGCTGGTGTGTGTTTGCCTTTGTGTGTATCTGTCTCGTTCCTGTGCAGATGTGGGGAGCAACAAGTGCTCCTGTGTACATATCTGTTCGTATACAATAGCGTATTCATCCATGCTTTGTGCTTATGTGTCTTTGACTATATAGTGAGGATCTATGGGTAGTCTGCACTCCTTTGTCACCTCTTTGAGAAACGGCTGGGCTTTGTGTCACTGTACAGAGCAGCTACTGTAAAGGCCAGGCGGGGACCCTTCGGGAACCAGCATCCACCGGCGCCGGCTGGCAGCTTGTTCTCTCGCTACACATCATCCCTCAGGCGCTCTGTTCAGGTCCTCCCTGTGCACGGAGGATGTACTCAGGGAAATGGTGCAGCTCCCTGTGCGCTGAGGATGTCCTCAGGGAAATGGTGCAGTTTCCAGGCTAAGTCAGAAGTGAAGGAGTCATCGAGAGCTGGAGCATTAAGGCATAAAGTCGTGTAAAAAGGCTGTTTGCTCCCTTCCTGGAGAGCTGAATTATGAGACTCTGGAAAGCCTGGCCACTGATTAAAAGGAGCTGATAGGGGTGGGGGGGACCTGATTCTGCAGGTTTCGGAGATGGACATAGTCCAAGAAGCTGGCTTGACTAAGTGGGGGGTGGGGGTTACCCGGCTGACCTGGCAGTACGCCCTCTTGGACACGCTGCCTCAGCACACGCCTCCTTCCTCGCTGTGCTGCGTCGTGCTGGTGGCCTCAGGAAGCAGCTCTGTTGTCAGACTCTAGTCTCTGTCTCGCAGTAATGGAGGTGATGTTTTGGCCCGATGCTCATCAGAAAAAGGCTGTTCATATCGACTACGTTTGTTTAATCATTTTTAGGATTTATTTACTGAGTCATGTTTGAAGGCTTAAACCCAGATCATTCACTGAAAATCATTTATAGTTGTGTCTAGCAGACAGAATTCTTCTGTCTTTTTAAACTGTTAACTCTAATGGGTTCAAGAAGGTTCCCTCTATAACCACCTAGGAACCTGTCACGCTCGCGGGTAGAGCAGGCAGGAAGCAGGCGAGCGTAGCCAGGTAGTCAGGGTAACGGGGTTTAATAGCAGGCAGACGTACAAGCACCGACATCAACGGACACTACACAATGACAGATCTGGGGAATACAGACTGAGACTCGGACTAAATACACAAGACTAGGTAACAGAGAACGAGCTACAGGTGGGAACACTTAGGGCGAAACAGGAGGTAATGAGGTGGGCGTGGCACACATCGGGAGCGGACGGAGCGGGGCGTGACAAACCTGTAGCAGTACCCAACTGTAATGCACTCAGAAACTTGGGAACCACAGGTTTAAATTGAAAAATAGATTATAAGTCCATATTCTGCTCGATTGCTATAAGTCTGCCAAAGTAGTCATCCTGGCATTGTTGTGCTCTGTGTTGCTGTACTGTTAAAAAGAATTATATACAGAAAAGCTAAACTGAAAAGCACATTTGCAAGAGCTAACTTAGCATAAGCAGCGTTCCGCTCACAGCTTGTGTGTTGGAGGACATGAGTGTGTGACCCTGCACGCATCACATGGACCGGACTGGGCTTCTGCCTTCCTGCATCGTTTTCGCTTGGCCTGCCTCTAGCTGAACTTATCCACACAGAGTGTCTGGAGAGCCAGGTCAACGGTACGCGACAGCTTCAGGATCGTAGTTACCGGGGGACACCTACAGGGCGTGACTGTAAACCATCATACTGTAATGATACTGCGACTGAACCGAACTGAAATGGAAAGATGCACATTTCTAATTCAGTTTTTTTTTTTTTAACTGAAGGAGGTGCCAGTTATTCCACAGTGTGCTCTGTGAGTCCCAGTACTGTCTTTGACTGGCCGTGATGAGGTAATTGTTGGGGTGCCCAAGAGTGTAAGAGAGAGTTTGATATTGGGGAGGACCCAGCTTAATAATTTAAATGTAAAGGTCTATTAATTGGGGGGTGGACGAATGAAGTTAAATTAAATATTGGGGGGTGCATGCCCCCCCCCCGGCTCCTACGCCTCTGGGTATCCATGCCCTTCCATATTGAGGGTATTATTACAGGAATAACCTTAGTGTGATTTATTGGGTCAATATGTAAATGTCAGTCACACTGCGTAATGGATCCTGTGTGCACATGTGCCTGGCAGATGTACCGGCATTAAATGGGCTCCCCGTTGTAGAATTACACCAACGAGTAAGGAAAGGTAAAGGGAAGGTTTGCAGTTCAGACTCTGTTTTTGTTGTACGTGAGACACAGCAGCACGGCAGTTGGTTATTAATTAGGTAGGTCTGCAGTTATTGGTTTGGCTCATGTGGAACATATTGCCAAAGCACATATTCATAAATACTTGTATGCAGGTTTTACACATTTGCATTATGGGAAAACACCCAAAATTCCATCCCAGTATTACAAGCCTGATTTAGCAGGTTACGGTAGAAAGTTTAGCTATGTACAGAGAACCCCATGGTTTTTGGCCTTACTGGCATGTGGGTCATTTGGTATATTCAGAACAGTCTGCACTCTGTACCTATGAATGAGGTGGTTGTGTGGTCAGGCTTTTAGGAAGAACTAATGAAATAAACTAACACTCGCAACAAAATGTGAGTTCTGGTCACCGCTACCCTCCGCTAATGAATAAAATTAAGGAAATGAAGAAAGGGCACCAGCAGTGACCTCAGCGATGCGACACCTGTGTGACCCGCATCTTTTTATCAGCATTAATGGTGAAGTTTATAGCGGATGGTTTATTCGCTGTCACCCCACGCCGCTCCCATGCCCGCGCTTCTCTTCATTGCTTATTTAAGCAGCAGTGTCAGAGTTGAGCGCCTTTCAGGGAGGAGTACCGCCTGAATCGGGGGGGGGGGGTGCCTCCTCATTTTCCATACTAAAGAGATTTTATCTCTTCTCTATGTATGAGTGCAACAAAAGGCAGTGTCACTGCACCAAAGTGCTCTGGAGTTCACTATTTTTCACAGTTTTTGTGTCGTGATTGAGGAGCCTTGTGTGTTCGTGCGGGTATTCGACCTGGGAAACGCAACATCCCACAGAAATACCAGTTACACCAGCCTTTCTCATTTGTGGGGAATTTTTAATAAAATCATTTTCACACATAGTCACAATAGGATTTTTAAATGCACGTTCTATTTAAATTTAATATAGATATTAAATTCTGTTTAACCACATTATCATCCATTTCAGGTAAAAGGTCATAATGCAATCTATTTCAAGCATTTATTTTTAATTGCAGTTTGAGGTTTGTCATGAAAAAGGTTACTGCAAATTCATTTCGCAGCCTAATCAGTATTAGGAGAAATGTATTCTCACAGGAGTTCATAAAGTCTGCTAGTAGCTTCCCCCACTAACCACATCAATCATGTTTAAGGATGACATTGGTTAATCTAAGGTAATTATCTAATGCCTTTGCCAGTAAGATAAATTTTGACCCATAGCCTAAATAGTGAATAAAGTGATCCTATAGCATACAACAATTTTTATTATGCCATGAAAAAATATACTTTAACAGCCAACGGATTATTTATTCATTCATTATTTTTTAATTTGTTCTTTTAATGGTCAAAGTTACAGGCTTGGGGTCTGATCCGGTCATTTAAATAAGGGTCACCCTTAGAGTGCCGTTTCTGTCCTGATTCTGGGCAGATCATTCCGGAATACTACGGTGATCCCCCCCTCCTGCTGACAGTCACATGAGCAGCCCTCACGTCCAATATGCATAAAATACACACCAGAAAAGCAAAACAAAAAGAAAAGAATTCCTAATTGAAAGCACACAGGAGCCCTTTCTGGTGAGTGTGGTGTGTGGGGGGGCGCTTTCGGAGGGGGGGTTATTGTGGGCTGTAGCTGACTGGCACTAGAGAGCTGTTCTTACCTTTTATTGCTTTTTATTGCTGGAAATGCTGTGCTAAATATTCCCAGGTGCCATTTTTATTGTTGTTTTGCGTTTTATTTCACAAATGAGAGCAGAGCGGCCTGTGAAAGAAAATGTGCCTCATGTGGAAAGTCCCAGCAAGGAGGGGGTCGGAGCAGCCTCTGTGCTGGGGGGTCCAGCCGTCCGCAGATCTGTCCTCCTTCCATCCCTGCTCTCCCTTTCACTTTCTCTTTCTCCCCCTTTCTTCACCCCCCTTCCCCTTACCAGTTTAATGTATTCCTCTCAACCTCTGGAAAAATTCCTCTGTCCCTTTTGAATAAAATTCCATTCAGTTGCTCTGGAGAAGCAATTTCCCGCCTCCCCCGTTAGCCCCACCCCATCCCAGTGCTGACCGCTTTCCTTTCCCGTGTCGCGCTGCAGGAGCTGCTCTTCAGCGTGTGTGCCCTGAACGTCATCTCCACCATCGTCTGTGCCCTGGCCACCGCCATGTGCTGCATGCAGATGGTGTCTGCTGACGTCCTGCACATGGTGAGTAGCATCGCTGTGGCTGATCTCCCAACCAGTCACCTTCCTCACATGGGCCTCAGAGGCATCATGGCCAGTTTGCAGGGCGTTTGGATAAATATCCATTACTGTTGTTCATAGGACACCAATTACCCCAGACAATGAATGCATGGTGGCATAATAGGACTCAACTCTCCAGTCATGACAGTAGAGGAGGGAAAAGCAGAGCTGCTTCTTCTGGGCCCCGATGAAGTCCTGTGTAGAGCCTCACGGTGTTGTCTATTTAAGACAGTCATTAGCGCCTCCTACTGACTGGCCAGATGTCTGCAGGTAGCTACTCCCCCCCCCAGCGAGAGCCCAGCCGTCGCTCCAAACATTGTTCTATAATGTATAAGACGGCTGTTGGCTTGGCAGAGGGTGTATCACAGGACCACACACACCGGCCTGAGGGCCCCCTGGCAGGAACGAGCAGCTTCACCAACAGCCTGCTTGTTTCAGATTTGCAAAAACCACTAACCTGGAGCAAACATTCATGAAGGAAAAAAAAGGGAACTAAACAAAGAACCACGAAGGGTGAGGTGACAGCAGCCGCCGGAATGCACAATGTGGCCTCCATGTTGGGTTGTCGTGGTGATTTGTCGTGCTGTGCCATCCTTTAAATGACCTCTTCCTCCTCACCGGGGACGAAATAGTCTCTGTGTCCCTTCCGGAAAAAAAAAATATACCGAAATGCTTCAAGGCCACCGGGGAAATCAGCACTGCAGTGTGACAATTCACGCTCCGCGTCCTTCGGAGAGAAACTGCCCAGGAACGGAAGGCCATCGCCCCCCCGGCACTGATGACATCACACAGGTTAACCTCTGTCCAGCATCCATTCAGAGGCAGCCTCTCTGATATCTTTGGAGGATTCTTTGCTGACTGAAACCCGTAACAGATTCCCAAGGACACCGAAAGCAGCTCTCCGGCGTCTAATGAACTTGCCGGCCGATGCCTTGGGTGTCAGTGGCTGTGTGGCCCAGTATTATTAGGCTGGTCGCAGATGAGGGGCTGCATGCCAGCACCGCAGGAGGCTTCACATCGCATTTAGCGCAGCACCAAAGGAGCAAAGGTGCAGTCTTATTTACTTTTATAACTGGACTTTTCGTTTCTGCATTATAGGACAAAAAAGATTATAATTTTTTTTTTTGACGATTTTCTCTATTGATGGAACGAGGTTTCGATTAAATTATGTTGTTACAACCAGGGGTTAAATCAGAATCAGAGAGGAGGGAGAAGCATGTCAGCTACAGTGTGTGGCTTGTATAATAGTTATTATATGTATTTGTGTTAGAGATGCAGTGTGTTCATGTGTCGGCATGTTGTGTTACCACTATATTACATGCAAATGAAACTTAAAAATGCATCAAATTTGCTTACAGCTACAAGTAATAATCTCCCTTATTCATTTGAAGTGTCACTGGGAAAATGCATTAAAATATCAAGTTATTCACGGATTGTGTCTTGCAGAGTCTAGCTAGTATGTAAAATTTTGGCAGCAGTAAGTCAAAATACAAAAACAAAGGAGAGAAATCAAAAATATCTCATGTACTTGAGAAAGGAATTTTTCGTCAGAGCTACTAAAGAAAATTTATATTATAGCTGATGTAAAAACATGATTTCCAGCTCAAAATTGACCTTTTATTCAACCATTCACTTTAAATCTTTTACTAAATTTTGGGACATTAACAAAACGTTCAGGAAGGCAGAGCTGCACCCTGGCAAAGTGCGATTTGGACATAAGGAAGCGGAGCTGCACACTGGCAAAGTGCGATTTGGACATAAGGAAGCAGAGCTGCACACTGGCAAAGTGCGATTTGTACATAAGGAAGCGGAGCTGCACACTGGCAAAGTGCGATTTGGACATAAGGAAGCGGAGCTGCACCCCGGAATGGTGCGATTTGGACATAAGGAAGCGGAGCTTCACCCCGGAATGGTGCGATTTGGACATAAGGAAGCGGAGCTGCACCCCGGAATGGTGCGATTTGGACATAAGGAGGTGGAGCTCCCCTGGGCTCCATCTATATTGAAACCCTGGTTACAACCTTCACATAGTCAAAAAGTGTACCTGTTTTTAAACATTAAACCATATCTTGATTCAGCCTTCAGAGTTTCAGTCATACAGGCAAGTAGGAGTGAGTTTACCAGGTGGGTGGGGGGGGGGGGGCACAGCTTAATAATTCATATACAAAGGTCTTTTTATTGGGGGTGAAGTCAAATTAAATTTTGGGGGTCACATGTCCCCCCATCCCCTCTGGATCCTAGGCCCCTGCATATAGGAAAGCTTGTAAATTGCTCAGACTGGAGGTGAAGCCCAAGTCCTGAAGGAAAATGCAAGGTGTGACGTGGTTTTAAATTGGAGGACAGCTCAGATTAACCGTGGCTGTTTAGCCGTGAGGTCGTTTTAAGGTGAATGACTAAATCCCCGTCGAAGCTGATTCCACACAAAGACAGGCGGGCGCTGTGAGTCTGGCTCCTTGCCGTGCTTGTTTAGAGGCTAATCAGTTTTGGAGATGTGCGTGGAGATACCCCGGGGCTTTTCTGTTCAACATCTTCGCTTTGGCATTTGTTTAGCGTTGGTGCATTCTTCGCTTATCTCTGTTCCCAGATGTTGGGTTTTAATGTGACCATGACCTCAGAAACCCTTGCATGTCTACGGTCTAGGGTTTTAATATCACTGTCACCTCAGAAATCTGTTTGTGTTCACAGTCTTGGATTTTAATTGACCATGGCCTCAGAAACCCTTGTGTCTTTACGGTCTTGGCTTTTAGTGTGACCGTGGCCTCAGAAACCCTTGTGTCTTTACGGTCTTGGCTTTTAGTGTGACCGTGACCTCAGAAACCCTTGCGTGTTCACGGTTTTGGCTTTTAGTGTAACCGTGACCTCAGAAACCCTTGCGTGTTCACGGTTTTGGCTTTTAGTGTGACCGTGGCCACAGAAACCATTGTATGTTCAAAGGCCATCTCTTCATTTTGTATATGACCCAAATAAGTGTCAGGGCTCATGTCAATTAAACTTGTTTATGTATCTCATTTTTTTTAACGATGCTGTTGCACTCTTGAGTCCTGTAAAGGAAATTTGGCACCTGTTTTCTGAGATAATTCTGAAGAGCCGGCCTGTTCTGTTTCAGTTCATGCCACGCCGGTCACGTTCCATGAATGCGGACTGCATGACCCCCCACGGCACCATCCTGCACCAGACCCTGGACTTCGATGAGTTCATCCCTCCAATTCCCCCACCCCCCTACTACCCTCCAGAGTATACCTGCACCCCGGTGATGGAGCCCCAGAGGTATGGCGGCGCCTGACTCCACCCACAGAGCCACACTTCACTGGTCAGTCGCGACCAGTGATGATGTCACGCCTTTTGCTGCGGGATTTCATGCCGCACAAATTCATTACCCTGTCATGTATTACTTAGCATGTAATCTCTGAGCTTCTATGTATGCATACATAAATATGATTAAAATGGAAAGTTATCTCATTTCCTGTGAAACTCTGTAGGAGATGAACTTTGCTGCCAAGCCTATCGATCCTCCTGCAATAAACCAGTTATATTCTCTATCGTAAAAGCATGTTGATTTAGCTGTAGTGACAGGCCCTGCTGGCTTGTCAGGGAGGCTATAAAGGAAGGAGCAGCCGTTTCAGCAGCCTTGTCTGTAATCGACGGAAACATGCGTGAAATGAAGATATGAACAGAATGTCAAGCCATGATTTATGGGGAGGAGCGTTACATGTAAAGACACTCTCAGTACCTGTTTTGGTTATTTATTGGTTACATATAGCGGTTTGGGGGCCATGGCGGCACAGTCAGGATCAATATAACTCCACACCCCAGGATTGTAGGTTTCAGTCCTGTCCCTGGTTTGTTCTCCTTCCACAATCTAAAAACATGCATTTAGGTGAATTGATGTCTCTAAATTTACTTGATGCTTTTGTCCAAAGGAGGGAGAGGTTACAATCCACGTGTGCTCTCTGGGACTTGAACCCACAACCTTTGTGTTGCTTACACAATGCCCTACTTTAGCATTGAGCTAGAGTCGCACTTGGTGTTTTCCTGGGCAGAACTGGCATGTAGATTTGGATGGATGGAATGTAGTCTGCTCTTAGCTGACCCAAGCACGCAAGAGTGTGTCAAGTCCTCTCTTTTGTGTTTTCCTTTAACTCTGCTGCATCTCCTCGTTTATCCATCTGTCTCTTCGTCTGTCAGGGGACTTCATCTGGACTTTCCCCACTCTCCGTTCAGCGCCATCTACGGCATGCCCATCAACAGCCCTGGGACACTGTACCCCTCGGAGCTGCCTCCCCCCTACGAGGCCGTGGTGGGCCAGACGCCAGCCAGTCAGGTGGGCCCCCTTGCCCCACCCTTCCCCAAACTCCACCCATCACGTGTCCTTCCTGTCTCCTCTGAAGCTCCATGCCCCTGGGCTTTAAAAACAGTGTGATGGTCCGAGATTCAGGAAGGCACTCACCACGTGTACCGGAAAGCAGTCACCTGTGGAGCATATGTGAGGCCGTATTGGAAAGGCAGCGTTGTGTGGGGTATGAGTGACCCATTAAAGATGAGGCCGGACAGATCTCAGGGTAGAGATGGGGGGGCAATTTTGAGGGGTGAAATATTGCTTTTGCATCCAGGTCCTCAGGATGTACAAAGTTTGGACAAATTGAAATGGCACATTTCCAGGAACCTAGAAGCCCGGCGGCTCGATGGGCTGCTGGCGGCATCGCAGACTTAGCTGGTCATTATGAGGAGCATCCCAGTGAATGAGGAGGCCCAGGCCGTGGGCAGAGGCTGCCAGGGAGTCAGCAAGATGAATCCCATCTTCATATCTGGCTCGCTCTCCATAAAGGAAGACCGCATGGTCCTCAGCCTGGCCAAAGCTTAAAAAACCTCTACCTTCTGGAAATCTGCCTTCTCTGAAAATTACCTCTGATAAATAATGAATCAATACTGCAGCCAAAGCATTTTCCATAAAGTATTGGAAGAATCTTTATTTTCATTATTTTTATTTGTGCTGTACTTTCACTTTTTATCTTTGTCAGACATTTTTCCTGAAATATATCCTCCTCTGTTTGCATGTGTTTATTAATGAGCTACAGATTCTACAAAGTGGGTCTGTCTGTCACAACGTCTGGAAAAATATTTTTATCTTTTCTGGACCAACTTAAATGCACAAGCCTTGGTCACATGACCTTATAGCAGCACAGCCCCTTTGAAAAACTACATCTACAGCAACCAACATCCCATACGTAACTTACATTTCATCTTGTGGCCTTAAATCATGTCATCAGATACAGCTTCTGTACAGTTCTCACAGGTGGATTCATATTTTGTCTAATGGAAAAGGTCAGTCTCTCACTGAAGACCTGACCTGCCCACTCCCTAACACTCAGGAGCAGAGGACACCAGTGGACCAGTGCTCCTCAGCTGATGAAACCACAGCGTGTTACCAAACACGGCCCTGAACAGACAGGAATTTCACGCTGGATGACATTGAGTAAGATCTGTCATCTTCAGAGAAATAACATTACTTGAAATCTGACTTTGCACAGAGGCAAAGGGGTAAATTGCGTAATCTTATATCTTATTATCTTGTAAAATTGAAGTTATTTCTCTGCAGGAAGGAATGTTGTCGCTCTGTTGCCGGTTCGAATCGGCAACCAGCAAAGTACCAATGAGGTACCCCGAGCAAGGTACCACCCCCAAGCACTGCTCCCTGGGCGCTGAATTAACCCCCTGCTACGTCACAATGTCACATATGGATTAAATGCAGAGAACACATTTCACTGGTGTGCACTGTGCGCTGTGGTGTGTCAACAATGAAAACAAATCACTTTCATTGCACTTCCTGCTTTCTTTTGGGGTGGACAAGTTCTGCTAAACTTTGGTAAACTGAGGTCAGCAGCCTTGCTGGGAGGGGGAGAAGAATGAGGTTGCTGGACGGGGGGGGGACGACACTCAGTCCATGGGGACGTCTGTAGGGTTTGACAGTCCAACGGCTGGTGCGATACCAGGTCCTGCTTGTGCTGCAGGATGCTACCATACTTCTCCGTGAGTGTCCCTGCGTGTCACCCTGGGAATCGTTTTCATGCTGTCCTTACTGAGGCGCACTAGTAAAATTGAAATAGGCAGCTCAGAGAAGGGCCATGAAGGATAGAGGAAAAAACGTGGATGGTCAAGTTACAGTGACTGGGACAGGTCTGCGTGTGCATGCAGCCAGAGCTGGGGAAAGCTGCGATGGACATTTGGAAACCGGCAGCTGAGCAGGTGTTGTGGTGCTGGGGTGGCCTGTCAGATCTGCACCCCCATTGTCCAGCCTCCTGCACATATGTATCCCCTGGCCAGTGCCCGACTACTAGGGCACACCATTGAATAGAGTGTACTTTCTACCCGATTCAAGTAAGTATATGCGAGTATATGTCGCCCTCTGCAGGTCACCACCAGTATGGAGCAGCAGGCCACCGAGTCCAGCCTTTGTGAGAGAAACACTACAGCTGGCTTCAGCACACAGGGTGAGGGTGCCAACAGGACAGGTTGCCATAGTGTATAATCTGATGTGCTTTGTATGCCCCTCCGCCATGATGAATCTCTCTGAGCAACAGCAGCACACTCAGAGACCGTTACTGAGCTTTATTAATTACTTGAGTTTCTTATTTTTCCCACTCCGATCATCACGTACTTCTCTTTGACAACAACGATGCAGAACACTGCAGAAATTTAATCCGTTAAAGAAAACGGGCATTTCAAAAAGTGTGAATCTGCAGGGTGAGCATTCCCCGCGCTGTTCGTCTTTTTCTGGTCGGTCTCCCAGCGGCCCTCCGCGTGACTCCCTGGGACTCAACAGAAATGCGTCTGTGTTTATGTGGACTCTGGTGTCTCCCGCCTGCAGCCTCGGTGGACAGCGCCTCTCTGATGGTGTCAGAGTTAGCCGAGCTGCCGGACCACAGCTGCTCCTCCGAAGACCTTTGTTCCCTGGAGGTGCAGGGATCCCTGCGCTCCCCCTCGGACCTCTCTCCCTGTGGCGCACCCAACGCCGGTCCGATGGAAGGCAGCGTCACCAGCCTAGAGAACAGTGTACCCAGCTCGTTGAAGCACCAGCCCCACAGTGAGGTCCACACCCAGGAGTGCTCGCCCGACTGCTCATTGGACAACATCAGCACACTGGGGTGGGAGGAGCCAGCCAGGGCCACGCCTATGCATTCCAGAGAGAAAGCCAATAGGATGCTAGCCCGTCCACCTCCTCTTCGTCCTCCTCCTGCCTCCTCCTCTGCTTCCACAGTCCAGTCAAGTGCAGCCCCAGCCTCTGTCCCGCCTGCCTACCCCTCTCCCTCCCCACCACCCCGACAGCGTGGACACAGGCTGTGCTTCAGCGTGTGGTCCCCCTCATCCTCTTCCTCATTCTCCTCAGCATCACAACCCCCCTCGGGTCCCACGACCAGCTGCTTCTCACCCCCCGAGAAAACCCGTTCTGCACGGTCCGCCAGGAGGTATCAGCTGGCCCGAATTGTGCGTTCCACCAGTGACCCCATATCCTGTTCGTCCGTCTCTAGAAGTACGTGAGTCTCCCTTGTGCCAGTATATCTATCAGCTTGTCATGAATACCGTAATACCTCTAATATGCATCCAACTATAGATTAGGTACATTAGATACAAAAAAGGAATGTTCTTCAACTCTCTGCTAGAAATAATTGTGCAAACATCTCGGCTTGTCTTCTACAACCTATGTGATAGAACAGTTATGATGAAAACTCTGCATATAGGGATATCGCCACCACCAGGACAGGCCAGCTGTCTTATAGTACCGTGACTGTGTCAGCTTTCACTGTGTCTTATAGTACCGTGACTGTGTCAGCTTTCACTGTGTCTTATAGTACCGTGACTGTGTCAGCTTTCACTGTGTCTTATAGTACCGTAGCCGTGTTTCACTGTCTCACAGTGCAGTAGCCCTGTTGGCTTCCGCTGTCTCACAGTGCCGTAGTCCTGTTCGCTTTCACAGAACTGACATTGTGAATCGCTTTATTTCACATCTTTTTCTCCTTGCAGCAAACAGCTGTGCATCCTCTGTGGCTCCACCTGCTGGACAGTTCGCACAGACCCCACCTGAGCCAGGTATCATGCAACCACCCAGCTGTGACAAAATTAACTTTCATGCAGGTGAAAATGCACAGCCCAGCCCCACTGGCCTCTGGGGCCCTGGCCACATTTGAAGCCAGTGACCTTCACACACTGGAGTCTGCATATGCATTCACATGCACACACGCAGAGGGCCGAGGGTGGTGCATGAAAATTCAGAGATTCTCTGCACACGTACGTCTGCGTTACTGCTGTGTGGCTTGGGTACCTCTCTCTGGGGGAGTGTGATGTGTCCCTGTGGTCAGCATTTGGGCTCTTGCAGCTCTCCTGATAACACCAGACCCAAAACGGCCTGACTCACTGCCCTACTGTGACTGGCACCTCTTAGCAGTAATGAGGGAACTGAACTGAAGCTTCTTCGATACATGTGCCAGCCGACAGAAAGGCAAGAATAGGGCACAATCAGACACTAGACATATTAATATGCTTTAATCTTTATCTTCTTCATTTCAGTAATTTCAGTAACATTGGATAAAATGGAATCCGTTTGTTATTCCGTTTTCAGCGTCTGTAAAAAGTAGATCTCTGGAATTTTCTGCTACTTTTTCCTCCACAGCCCATAATTTTTTTTTTCGTTTCAGAATTTTTATGTATTAATTGGCATGCATCTTCCACCTGCTCAACTAAAAAAATGTCTTTACATAATTTACATAATTTAAATATTATAGGGTATTTATTAAATTAAATCGATTGCTTGATTAAGTTCATTATTTGGGGTGGTGATTTAATATCCTGCAGCAGCTTTAAGCCTTATTTGTTAAAAAACCAAAGGCAATTTAACAACCCAAAATGCCTGACGGTGTTAGAGGTGCCAGACGAAGAATGGGATAGAAAACACCGGTGTGTTTTATTTTCAGATGCACTCTCTAAACACGACCCTGTGCTGGAGACCAGTAGGAGACCAGAGAAACCAATCAGCCTTGCTAGCGGGACAAGGAAAGACGACGGCAAGGAGGTCCGACTCAAGCCCCGGCTTCGCCACGCCACGTCCGGCGAGCGGCCGCACTCCTTAGCCGACCTCAAGGCCTACAAGGACACAAAAATACTGGTGGCCAAGTTTCTGGAGCACTCCAGCTGCAGTCTGCCCCCGGAGGTGCAGCAGGTGGTCAACAGCATCAAGTTCGTCATCAAGTCTGACGAGAGACACATGGAAGAGGCCATATTCAGTGCCAACGTCATCGATCAGGTGAGCGAGCTCGGCAAATGGAAGTGCAAATCGGTGTTTTGAAATACAGGGTCCTGTGATAGTGGTGGCATACAGTACTGTTCAAAAGTCTTAGGCAGTCCAAAGAAATGTTTTAAGCTGTTTATCTGGGTAGCAAGTGTACTTTGGCTTAGAACAAAAAACACAATTTAACATTAGAACATGTGCAAATTAAGAGTAACATGATAAAAACTAGTACTAATTTCTTCTGTTTTCTAAAAAGTTACTGATATCTAGTTGGATGGCTAGATGAACATCGCTTCAGTTCCCAAACTTCTCCTCAGGGGCACCTCAGCCGTTCCATGATTTTGTTCAATTTCACCAACAGCTCAATTAAATAATTGAATAAATTGGTTTAAAAAGTCAGTGACAGATTGACTAGCTGTATGGGGTGAGCTAGTGGCCAAGTCAAAAAATACATGGCTGCACTGGACGGTCGCTGCAAATACTGTGGTGATTTTAGCAGAGGTTCTGAAATGGCTACGCTGACACACTTTGACAGGCATAATATCATAGTTTCACGAGGATAATCTAAACATCATTTTCTTTGCCTGCCTAAGACTTTTGCACAGCACTGTAGCTTCTATCATGCTAGCTGCTGAACCGGAGCAATAGGACAGGCAGGTGTCTGGGTGGAGATCTGTCACATGACACACAAATGCACTCTGTCAATAAACACCTACCCAGGGATTGTCTAATAACCTAAATTGCCATCAGTTATCATAGCCTGATGTCGGATGGAAAAAACAAGCCTTTGTATTTGCCGATAAGATTCATTTTAATCTTGGTTAAGACATATTTAAATGTCCAATATATTTTAAACAGATGACTATGAATTTTTTTTACTTGGATTAAGTTAATGATTTAATTTTGATATTTAACTCTCTATGTGTGACACGGTGGCACGGCAGTTAGCACTGTTGCCTCACCCCTCTGGGACCCGGGTTCGCGCATTCACCCTGGATCAATGCTTGTGGAGTTTGCATGTTCTCCCCGGGTCGGCGTGGCCTTTCCTTTGGGTACTCCGGTTTCCCCCCACAGTCCAGAAACATGCTGAGGTTGCCCATAGGAGTGCATGTGTGAGTGAATGGGGTGTGAGTGTGGCCTGCGATGGGCTGGCGCCCCATCCTGGGCTGTTCCTAGCCTTGTACCCATAGGCTTCAGACCTCTGTGACCCTGATAGGACAATCGGTTAGAAAAAATGGATTGATGGAGCTCGCTATGTGCATCGTAACACAAGTCCTCACAGTCTGAGCCTGTTTCCATTATTGTTTTGCATCCCTCAGCACACAAAATATCAAATGTACAGACACCAGCCTGTCACACGTGCAGACGCCCCCCTGCCATATCTATGGACACCCACCCTGACCATATTTCCCTTCCCAGATGATGACACAATCCCAGCATCATGGGAGAAGCGACCCCTGGAAGCATGCCCATGAGGACCTGCATCTACAGAGCTGCGGCGCGCTGAGTTCCTCCGCTGTTTCCCTGCGCTCTTCCCGTGCCCCCCCCACTGCTGGGGCTGCAGGGACCCCCCCATCTGACCATCCCCACAGCCCTGTCAGCGTGTGCCGAGAGACCATCCTCTGACCACCCCCGAGCAGCCGGAAGACATGCCTCTAATGACCCCTGGCTGCATGCTGTAGGTGAGGCCAGGAGCAAACCAGCCACCTCTGGCAATGGAGCCCAGCACAGGGCAAATGCTGCCTCCTTGTGGCTGCCAGAGGTACTCCCTCAGTGACCTTCCCCATGTTCCTATTATGTAAATTAACTGTTGATCAATGTGAATAACCAACAAAGCCAAGTGAGCAAGAACACTGCTTTTAAAAACAACAATAAAAAAAATTAAACGCAACTGTGAATTGCACACTTGGACGACTGTGACCCTCAGGGGCCTTGGGATTGTGACCCCCCCGACCTCTCTGATTACAATGGCGAACAGAAGAAGACGGATTATTTAACTTACCTCAATGTGTTACAATTCATATCAGTGTTACAATAAAATACAAGCTTTTTCTCTATTCTAGGTGGCTTTATTTCCCCTCCATCTACACTCACCTAAAGGATTATTAGGAACACCTGTTCAATTTCTCATTAATGCAATTATCTAATCAACCAATCACATGGCAGTTGCTTCAATGCATTTAGGGGTGTGGTCCTGGTCCAGACAATCTCCTGAACTCCAAACTGAATGTCAGAATGGGAAAGAAAGGTGATTTAAGCAATTTTGAGCGTGGCATGATTGTTGGTGCCAGACGGGCCGGTCTGAGTATTTCACAATCTGCTCAGTTTCTGGGATTTTCACGCACAACCATTTCTAGGGTTTACAAAGAATGGTGTGCAAAGGGAAAAACATCCAGTATGCGGCAGTCCTGTGGGCGAAAATGCCTTGTTGATGCTAGAGGTCAGAGGAGAATGGGCCGACTGATTCAAGCTGATAGAAGAGCAACTTTGACTGAAATAACCACTCGTTACAACCGAGGTATGCAGCAAAGCATTTGTGAAGCCACAACACGCACAACCTTGAGGCGAATGGGCTACAACAGCAGAAGACCCCACCGGGTACCACTCATCTCCACTACAAATAGGAAAAAGAGGCTACAATTTGCACGAGCTCACCAAAATTGGACAGTTGAAGACTGGAAAAATGTTGCCTGGTCTGATGAGTCTCGATTTCTGTTGAGACATTCAAATGGTAGAGTCAGAATTTGGCGTAAACAGAATGAGAACATGGATCCATCATGCCTTGTTACCACTGTGCAGGCTGGTGGTGGTGGTGTAATGGTGTGGGGGATGTTTTCTTGGCACACTTTAGGCCCCTTAGTGCCAATTGGGCATCGTTTAAATGCCACAGCCTACCTGAGCATTGTTTCTGACCATGTCCATCCCTTTATGACCACCATGTACCCATCCTCTGATGGCTACTTCCAGCAGGATAATGCACCATGTCACAAAGCTCGAATCATTTCAAATTGGTTTCTTGAACATGACAATGAGTTCACTGTACTAAAATGGCCCCCACAGTCACCAGATCTCAACCCAATAGAGCATCTTTGGGATGTGGTGGAACGGGAGATTCGTGCCCTGGATGTGCATCCCACAAATCTCCATCAACTGCAAGATGCTATCCTATCAATATGGGCCAACATTTCTAAAGAATGCTTTCAGCACCTTGTTGAATCAATGCCACGTAGAATTAAGGCAGTTCTGAAGGCGAAAGGGGGTCAAACACCGTATTAGTATGGTGTTCCTAATAATCCTTTAGGTGAGTGTATATTCATCATTAATTAATGTGCTTTATGTTTGTGTTTAGCTTTTGCACAAGACACAGTGTGAAAGTAAAGTGACACCCACATACTGGTTAACAGGGGCATTACTGGAGATCTGTAAAAATACAAGCTAAGCCTTCACTAGACAGTCTGATCTTAATAAAATGAACGAGAATACACCATTTAAATGTATTAGTTCACGTTATTGAGATATTATAATATTATGTAACCATTTGAAGCAATTCAGGCACATATTTTTTTAAAGCTGTACTACAAATGCAAGCATATACTGTTATAATTACATTCCCAGACCGGGAGTTAATATGCTTTATGGATTGGTTCACCACCGCTACACATGCGTGCTCGTTGGCACGATAACTCAAAAGGTATTTGATGAATCTTTTTCAAACTTTGGAAACACATTGTATAGGAACTGATCAAATTTGGAGACCGATCACGCCAAAAATGAAGGAACACAGCTTAATTGCAGTAAAGGGCTGGGTGACTGCAGAAAATACTTGACCTTGTGAACGTGTTGAGGTTTTGGGTGTTGAAGGAATAGAATTTAGAAAGGGGAAGGGGTCCAGGAAATACATTGTGGTCATTCTTTCAGTATCTACCTTACAAATGAATGTAGCAAGGGCGTCGGTTTGGTTACGGCATTGGTATGAACCCGGGTTTAGAGAAAGAGCTCAGTACCGCCTCCTTATGTACAAATCAGATCTTGTCACAGTGTGTTTTCCAGCTTTAAAGTAGCTTTGACTGGACTCATTTCTCGCGTGGAGACTCTGCTAGAGGTAAGACATGTAAGAGCAATAGCTTGATATTTTAATGCATTTTCATGGGGACATTACAAATTAATAAGCCAGAATATTACTTGCAGGTAAAAGCCATTTTGATGTATATTCAGTTTCATTTACAAGTCATGCTTTAAAAAAAAGTCAAGTATGCCTGTCGTTTAACTACTGTACCGTACCCATATCAAATAAAAATAGGCCTAACTTTTTTTTTAGCAAATTTATCAATTTATTTTATATTGTTTTATTGGTAACACAACATGCCAAGACACGAACACAGTGCATCTTTAAGTCTGTGATCATAAATAGGATGATAACTAACAAATGCAGTGGTTCTCAACTGTGACCCAATTTTTTACCATGCCAGCTATATGAAGCATAGGTTTAAATGAACGCAGTGCACTGTGCAACCTATGCCAATCAATGTCTATTGCACAAATCTGGTTGGATGTACCAGTGAATTTTAAATTAACCATATTTGGTATGGCTTCTTGGACTGGGTGAGTGTTCACTAATTTTGCCTTAAGCATTTGCAGACCCGAGACCCGTTTATATGAGTTAATTCTAGGATTGGGGTTGGGAAATCTGATCATGGATCAGCGTAAGAGTTTGCTGGTTTTAAAATGCTTACATTTCCAGCTCTGCCTCGCAACGTTTTCAGAGCTTGCCGCGACTCAAATCTGGATTACGACCCAAAGGTTGAGTATCGCTGAACTAATGTATGGAGAGACATATTCAGGACTCCTCTCCCCGTACCTGGCAGGGCTCCTCCCTTCCTCTGATTCTGATTTTAACTCATGGTAGGAACCAAATGTCCCGAACCTCGACCCCGTAGACACACATGGTTCTCCCACAATATTGGTGGAGCCCTGTCCACGCCGTCCATACCCAAATCTACATCCTTGGGATCTAATCAGTGCTTTTTCTGAAAAATAAATGCATTTCTCGCTAGATTTTTGTTCGAGCGATAATAATTCTCGTAAGGATGCATTTTACTAAGAACTAAAAACACTTCATTTAAGTTACAAAATAAGTCCATAGAAAGATATTTGTTATTTTAATTGCCCTAAATGACTTGTGTCAAAATTTTAAAAGCGGCATAAAACTGAAAATCATCCCTAAAAGCTTCAAGTACACTTCAGGTTCAAACACGTACAATCAAAAAGCAATGGATTTTGTAAGAAACATGAGGCTTAAGGGATGAATTATTGAGCTATATGATTAACTGACGGTGTTTGCAGAATTTATGTTTAAATGTCGTAGGCCCATCTGTTCGTAACCAAAATGTATCTCACTAAATCTGCATGGCAAATACAATGCGATATAAAGTGTCTTTTAAATGAAAATACCATACTTAACTATGAACATTTCATTTGTTAAACTATCCAATAGCGCTACCTACTGACTATGTTGCTCATGTAAAAAAACTTTATTGTTGAAGTCTTACATTTTTGGAAGTTGCCCTAAAACGCCATCGTAGTACCTTAAGTATCCAAATAGCAAATGATTTTGAGATTTTAACATCATATCAGGTTCGAATCGTTTGTGTACCATGCCCCACTTGTCTACCACGATTAAAAAAAAATAACTAAAAATACATGTTTATATTATTTATTTTAATTTATTATTTTGTTAATATGTCGTATTTAAATTCAAGAGTTTAAAGAATTACCACACCTGGTATATGTCAGAATGTGCACATGTTTATCATTACGTAAGAAACACGGTTACCCAGTTTGTCAACCGAAGGGAATTATTAAATTATCAGATGAGTTCGGGTACAAATAAAAAGAAAACAATAATTTTCTCATATGCTTTAATTGTTAGTTTGTCATAATTTATGTTTTAAAATGGTTGCCACAATGTATACTATTTTATAAAAGCACTATTATTTTTGTTTACATATTTAATTTTTCCAAAACATGTAATAAATTGTCATTGCCAACACCAGGAGTTCAGGTTTTGCAAGGTTAAACTGTCTTTCGAAATGCATGTAAATCCATGAATCTTGCTCAACACGCCAAAAAGAATTTAACCGTATCGGCTTTTAGATCACTGCTTCTTGCACCATGCGTTTAAGAAATTTAAGACTCATTGCGCATGCGCATCGCGATAACCGGTTCAACCGAACTATGGAAGTCCTCAGAATGGACAGCCCATATTATGGGTGTTCCAATCCGATTATTGCGAATGAGCACCCAAGAGATGACCAATCACAGAGTCTGTGCTCTTACTTCCCATGTTTCTATTGGTTATTATTATCGACAATCATCTGCATAGCCCGCCTTACGGGCAGTCTACTATAGGTCGTTCTTGTGTAAAATAACGCCAGGAAGGAATTAGGCAAATCGGAGATATCGGCAGTAGATGCAGCTGCAAATTAGGAAGTGTCATTTGCGTTGTTCTTTTTTTTTGTTTTTAATGCAATGTGACCGAGGCTCAGCAGGCTAGCCCTATGCACGCTACGTGTGGCTTACGCGCTAGTAACAGTATCCCGGTCTCGTTAGCTAGCTACGATTCAATTTGCAAGCTAGTCCGCTTGGCGTCAAATCCGTAAGGGCAGAGTGAGGTGCCGAAGAAGTATCAACAGACAATAACGCGAGGCGCTATTTGCTTGCCGCACCTGCCTGGTAAAGTTAAGGGATTTGACATACTGCAGTGGCTGGCGTGTCATTTTTTTTTTTTACCAGTCATACATGGCAGGCTTTGCACTCGTTAACAAGGACTAGACTGTTGCATTTTATTCATCTTTTTCCTTGTCTTTATTGAATGGACAGTACCGTTTTGCTGTATTTATATTTAGTCTACTAGATGTGGATTGCTGCTTTGGCAGGACTGGTTTACGCCGCCTGATGGTAACATTCGTGCGCGGCGTACCGCACCATGGGGGTGTAAAAGATTAAATCGGAATTTCTTAGTGACAAAAAGCTCATATAATGTGTGCTCGCATACAAAGGGGCTTCCGTCTCGTAGAAATCGGTTAGTGGCGTTGACCATTACGGTAGGCCGTGTCGATGTAAGCATCGTGTATGGGGCTGTGTATGAACGGACGTCGGGGAAATTATCATTTGCGTGGAAAGGGATGAACAATCAGGGCTCCGAGTCACAATAAGCGGCGTAATTTACTGAATTTACAGTGTGATTTTCCGGTATCTAACATTTAGTAGGTGTTAGGTAGGAGTCAAGTAGCTGTCATTTTCGCCGTCGTCTTACAGATTATTTAAGTAAATATGGTTGGTTTCGGTGCGAATCGGAGAGGGGGCCGGCTCCCGTCTTTGATCCTGGTTGCACTCATGGTGGTCATCCTCATCCTGTCGTTCAACTACTGGGCCGTGTCCAGCAAGCACGGCCGTCTGCTGGACGAGCTGGCCGAAGTGCAGACGCAGGTGAAGCGCACGGATGCTGCACGCAGTCGCTTGGAGAAGCGCAACTCTGAGCTGATGGCGCAGGTGGACACGCATCGGAAGCAGATCGACCAGAGGGAGGTGGACGTTGGCGCGCTGGAAGGCAAACTGCAGACCCGCGACGCGCAGGTCAAGAAGTGCGCCGACGAAAAGGTACCCGTTGCGCCCCGAATGGCAGCTGAGCAGCCGAACACTGACGAATCGAGAGCCTCCTGGTGTGTTTGTACTGCTCTTGAATTCACGATGCGCTGGGGCAGTAGCTAAGACCTTTCGTACTGTGGTCTGCCATGGGCTCTGCTATAAAAGCAGCACATGTCCACCAAAAGTATAACGAAGTTGTCTACTTGTTGAATCTTAGGGATTTAAATGATAATGGTACATTATACTGTCTACAGGCAGGTGGACCTGTTAGAACCAAGGGGAGCGTGTTGGGGAAGTGGGGTTTGTTTCAGCATGATTTCCATGGTTCCTGTTTCCAAGCTGATTACTGCATATCAGTATCCTCATCTGCACCCCTTGTTTTAATTGCCTGTACAGGGGTTCTTTTAATCGTCATCTTTTTAAATTTTATTCTGGGGAATCATTGGCCCGTCATTAAAAAATGTGCCAGATGTCAGAGTATTTTCAAATAACATAATTTGGGAGATTGTATTGTTTAATCTGTGTTTTTTCCAGCTCACAGCAGCCTCAATTTTGCCTCTGGCTCAGAGCGCATAAAATGTCGCGCTAGCTGGCGTGAAGGTGAGGGCTTTGGGACAGCCTGCTTTTTCTTCCCCTTCACTTTTTTTGGGGTTTATTGAAATGTTCCTTGAATAAAATCACTGGAGTCGAGGCTTATTCCCGCAAGCATGGGGCAAAGCGCCGCATTTCGCGGCTCCGGCAGCGCCCCGAAGTTTCGCCTGTTTCCATGGCAGCAGCGCGTGCAGCTAGGGCTCCCCAGCAGCTCAATGTCACCGGAGTCGCTTTACCAGTTGCGGCAGGGAACTGGTATATCCGCTTCTCGTTTACACCGCATTTACATAAATGTATTCTGCTGGTGCCCCTGCAGCTACCCTCTTTGACTCTCTGATATTAATGAATTCATCCCATCGATTTTTAGTGACCCCTTATTTTCAGCTGCATACTGTCATCATCTCTGAATTACTAATAAGCCTGATAAATATGCATTTTTAAGCGTGATTTGTCATCCCTAGCGTAGCAGCTCCTGGCTTCCTGTCCTCTTGCTGGTAGGCCCAGATGTGGCCTGTGGTCCTGCTCAACCATCTGCTCTCAGTCCAAAGACCTGGGGCCAGTCAGTGTAGCTCTGCCAAGTGTCACTTCCTTCCTAACTAATCTGTTCTCCTGTTGATCCTTTTTTTTTTTTATATCTACTGTTTCAGTTCATACCAGTTTGGTGGGTGCTTTGTTTGTGCAATGCTATTGGCTATAAAACCCTTATATTGGAACACTAGGCTTGGTCGAACCGTTTCTGTCTCATGGATCTTAGAAAACACAATTTCGTTGCAGTGTTATGGAGATCATGTCCCCTCTTAGCCATCCCGCGGCAGCAACCTGTAGTTGACTTTTAACCCCTGGTTAATACGCTGCTTAAACAATGTACAGCTTAAAGTTTTGCTAGATTAACTTCTAAACGGACTGGATGGGAAACTCGCTGGCAAAGTCGCAGCCTCAGTGGCCGGCTAAGCAGGACTAACTGCAAACGTGTGAACGTGCCTCGTTTACACGTTTGCGTTTTGTTGTAAGTGAGGCGCGGCACTGAGTACAAGTGTGACATCTTTGTTCCTTTAGCTCTCAGCCGGACATGTTTGTGTTATTTATTTAAAAAAAAAAAAAAGAAGGTAAATGAGAAGTACGGTGGTTTGCCGACTGAGAGGGTTAAATGGAAGCAGACCATAAGCATCAGTGCTGTACAGAGTGAGTTGCTTCAGAGTGCTGGCAGAGTTGAGTTGCTTCAGAGTGCTGGCAGAGTTGAGTTGCTTCAGAGTGCTGGCAGAGTTGAGTTGCTTCAGAGTGCTGGCAGAGCCCCGTCAGTGCACACCCATGCATTCGGGCCTTTTTTCTGTTTTCTTCAAGGGCAGAGTAATTGTCTGTCTTTTAGGGGTGTTTTTCCTGTCACCCACATGCTTTATCCTGCTTCCCAAAGCAGAGCGACGTCAGGTTTCCCAGCCTTGCTACCTTCTGTACCAATGTGGGACTCGCGCAATAGCAGAGAGCGTCTGATCCTCCGCGGTGCGCCTTGCTGGTGGCCTTCGTCGGCCCGCCGGAGACGGTGGTAGCTCGTGCTCGTGTCGCTGTCTTCAGTGCGACCTGCTCCGGAGGGGGCAATCATGATGCGTGGATGAGTCAGTAACTGTGGTTATTTTTTTTCCTGGATCTTGCAGGAGGTCGTCCGCTTTGTACATGTCTGCCAGTACTTGGCGTGGCCTTAGAATGCAGAATAGTTACTAATCTGTGTACATCTATACTGTTTGGGTTCTCGGTAAAGACTGAGAAGGGGAACAGCCCAGACGAGTGCGCAGCATTACGTACAGGTCCAAAGGTTTTGCTACCTTTGTTGTTTTCTGCCTGGTCCATTGTCTCATCACAAGAAACCACTGTGTGACTATACATTGTTTCATATGGCAGGCAATTAGCTGTCAGTGTTCACTGTGGGCTTTTATGAACAGTTTAATAAAATATAGGTTTTATTACTCTGTGAGGGTTAACCTTTATAGATCATTAGATTATTCATAATGCACTGATCTGATATTCGGATCAGTATTGGTGCCGATCCAGACATTTTTATCTGATCAGGAATCGGCCGCATGTGACCGTTCCACGTCCGATACTTTCTCGTTTAGTTTTTGGCAGTTTGTAAAAAGACAGCTCCTATTTCGTGTTTCGATTAGTACAAACAGTCGCACGACAGCTCTTTCCATTTTACATGCGTGTTTTGCAGCATTCAAACTGAATGCTATCACTGCCGCTCATTGGGTGTGAGCGCAGTGACTTCTGCCTGCTGTGACGTCACGCGCAAACCCTTGGCCGTACAAGGAGCGTAAGGACATCAGATAAGAGGTTGACGGTCTGGGAGTATTTTACACTTTTAACAGGAACTTGTAGCACAGCGATTTGCAATCTTTGATTTGCATGTTTTGAGAGGTGGAAGTAGTGTTTACTGGAAAACTAAATAAAGCACACGCAATTTTGCGAGACGGCATAAGTGATATGAATAAGCAAGGGATGATTTGTTACAAATATTATATGTGGTATAAATATGTATTTATTATATAAAAATACTAAAGTAATAGCTCTTGTACCGGAATCTGGATCAGAACTGAAAAATGTGGATCGGCCAACCCTAATTATGAAGAATGCACGCAGAAAGCAGGTTCTGAAAAAGCTATAATTTATCCAGCTCATGGTGTGGCTCCCCCTGCAGGCCACCAGTGGTGACACGGAGGAGAAAAGTGAGGGGTAGAGAATAACAGGACAAAGGAGTGTGGAGTGGCCAGTGTGGAGTCAGTGTGCCCTTCAGGCCAGCAGCGGGTGCAGTGGGGCCTTATTCCCAGGCTTCTCTCTGCACACGCTGGTCAGTGTGCCCTTCAGGCGAGCAGCGGGTGCAGTGGGGCCTTATTCCCAGGCTTCTCTCTGCACACGCTGGTCAGTGTGCTGTTCAGGCGAGCAGTGGGTGCAGTGGGGCCTTATTCCCAGGCTTCTCTCTGCACATGCTGGTCAGTGTGCCCTTCAGGCCAGCAGCGGGTGCAGTGGGGCCTTATTCCCTGGCTGACTGCTCCAACCCAAAATCAAAACTATGGTCTAGGCATTACGTCATTCTTAAGAGTCCACATTTGTATTCTGCTGGCAGAATGTGTGCAGTGCCCACGCATTGAGGAGTAGGGCAAAGGCAGTAAGACAAAGGATAGCATGCAGTGCGAGCAGCCTGCCGGGCTGAGACGCACACGCTCTCCACGCTCACACACACATGCTGGCCGCTTCTCTCCATTCTTCTTCCATTTTTTAAAATTTAAAATTGAAATTCATATCCACTCCTGCTGGTCTTTTGAATCCTGTCTGAGCATCAGAAAGGATCTAGTTGACTGAAGGATTTAGGGTGATATTTTGGTTAGAGATGCACCGATTGCAATTTTCTTGGCCAATTCCAATTTTCGATGTTGTTGCAGGTGTAACTGACCGATACCGATTTTTACCGATTCCAGATTTACTTCTAAGAAATATAATTAACAGCATGTACAAACAAAAGTCAACTTTTCAGTGCATTTTTTGCCATAATAAAAGAAATTGTTAAACTTTACAGTTTCCCCTAAACTGCACTAATTTACACCATTTTCTCTCATTGAAGTCTCAGAATAAAGTGGCTCTGAGACTAGAAAGAGGTACAAATAACAACTAACTGAAAATGAGATTCTGTACACCAAACTTTATCCATAAGTCCATAGGTTACAAACCTCCAAATGAAACTGAAATGTACTATACTCTTCCAAATAGGTGCAGGGTAATATTAATACCAACACTGCATGTTATGCACATACAATTCTTACATCACTAGTGAGCTAGATTAAGATCAACCTTTTTCTTACCTTCATACTATATGGACATTATAGCGCAAGGGGGTTACAGTTTCGCTAAAACATTTTTACTCTGTCATAGTAAATACCTTAAATAGCCTTAGCTAGCTTTGCAATTTTAATGATTATTCCTTTTCAAGATTATCTAGTACAGGGGTCTCCAACTCCGGTCCTGGAGAGCTACTATCCAGTAGGTTTTCTGTCCCACTTGGCTTCTGATGAGCCACACCTGTTCCTGGTATTTACCTGAGAACAGGTGTGGCTCATCAGAAGCCGGGTATGATAGAAAACCTACTGGACGGTAGCTCTCCAGGACCAGAGTTGGAGACCCCTGATGTAGTATATGTTTAATAATCAGTTTAAAGTTTACATCCGATGTTTCACCACGTTTTCGTGTTGGTTCCTCCATGCTTTACTTTGGCTTTACATGAATTACAAATTCCAAGCTCTGTGTCGTCAACACTCACAGTGAAGAACTTCCACTGTAATGACGTGCCCGTGGCTGTGAGCGTGCCCGTGGCTGTGAGCGTGCCCGTGGCTGCGCCACTGTGTATATGACGTGTGGCACGTGTAAAACGGACCGGTTCAGTATCAGTAATGCATGAGACTGGCCAGCCATCTCCGGTCCTGGTCCGGGCATGCTGATAACCGGCCGATTGCGGCCCCTGGCCGGTAGCTCGGTGCATCTCTGATTCTGGTGTTTGGCCAGTTGGAAATGCCTCGACTGGGAAAATCAGCAGTTGAAATGGCTCACTTTGAATTACTCCCCAGTCATAAATGACTGAGGAGAGATTTTATTTGTTTTATTTTCTGTGTTATTTTTTTGCTTTCCAGTAGCCCTACAATTTGTGGTGAGGACTTTGCATAGAAACATATCATTGTACACTGGCACCCTGCCAAACCGGTTCCGGGGACGGATGTTGTTCCACCCAGTATTTATGCTGTGTTACGTTATGTCATGTTATTCTGTTGTGCTCTGGTACCCAGCCTGTCCAATCCATGTCAAGCAAATCTTTCTTTCCCCCTGGTTTTCTCTCTTCTTTAATTACGAGTTCTTTGTTCACTGTAAGTTGTGTACCTCTATGTGTTCCACTGTATGTGCTGTTCCTCCAGGGAACTAGAACCGACAGTTCTACATATGGATACACAATTCCAGAAAGTAAACGCGAAATGGCATTAAACACTTTCACTTTTGCCTTAGCCTGTGTGTCTTTGTGAGTGACATGATCACAGTACTCCGAGGCTCGCATGGGTAGCAGAAGTGTACCTTGGTGAGGTGGTCTGAGTGATGACGGTCTTCTCCCGTTGTCCTTCAGATGAAGCTCCAGAATGATGGTACAATTCAGGCTACAGAGATGCAGAGGCTGAGAGGTAAGAGCAGCTGCGAAAGCAGTTTTTAAATGACACCGGATGTGATGTGAAAGACACGGGGGGGTGGATTCTGAGTCATCTTCATAAAGAAGGTCAAAACTGTGTAGTAGAGATCAGGACTCCTCCTGTTTGTTGTTCAAACACCGCTGCGTGAGTCTGAGCTGGGTGATTTCGTGATTTGCCATGATTGGCGAGCAAGCTAATCTTTTGTGTCACCCTGTTCTCAGATCAGTTGAGGGACCTGCAGCAGGAGTTCCAGAAGCAAGAGGAGCAGTTGCATGAGACGAAAAGGAACAGCACGCAGCTGGAGAAGAGGTTGGAGTACGAGAGGTGAGCTTTGGGGAGCCGGCATGTACTGGGAACTGGGGTGCGTTGGAACGTTGGGGAATTGGGGTGTGCTGGAACACCTGGGAATAAAGCAGATCCAGTTCAGCCGGAGTGTATGATAGTGTCAGAGAGACGTCCAGGCCTTATGAGGCCGTGATGGTGCAGTCAGACCATGGCTCCAGCTTTCAGGGGACGCAGCAGGAAGCGTTTCCACTAGGGCTGCCGCCATTCGTCGACATGGTTAATGACGCATTGACATCAGTATTTTAAATCGACGCATCGTTTTTTTTATTCTTATAATAAAATTACATTTTTCATTTCTAAATATCAAACATTTTGCTTTAATATCACTACATAATTACAGGACTACTTTAGAGTATCACAGAACAAGAGGTTGTTTTACACTGTGCAGAGTTCAGTGGCACCAGCGCTTTGCATGAACACCTGAAGCGCAAACACGCAGCCGGCGTTCTGAGCGCAAACACGCAGCCGGCGTTCTGAGCGCAAACACGCAGCCGGCGTTCTGAGCGCAAACACGCAGCCGGCGTTCTGAGCGCAAACATGCAGTTGCCAAAATAAGCAAAACCACCCTAAGTGCTGTCAATTCATGTTTATTAAATTACCCTTAATACGGAGAGCTTTTTAATCTTTTGTCCTCGTAGCTGCTAAATACTCATTATTAAAGCCATAAAGTTGTCTGCCTGCTACCTTGGAATTTCCATTGAATAAATTGTTGAGAAAACGTTTAGGCTACAATCTGGGCTTATTCTACATTGATTGACAGTGCCAGTCTGCATGGTTATACGTGCTGGGCTTCTTGGGACCAGTGTTATTATTGTAAACTAAAGTTGAAACGAAGACGGACACAAAATTAAAAAAAAGTAACAAATAAAAATGAAAACTGTTGTCTGACTTTTAATTAGCAAAAAGTACCACCACACCACCATCATCGTTTTGCCTTATTTACCCACAATATCCCCTCTTTTAAAAGATGCTGTGGTTGCTGATCTGTCCCTTTCTTCACCACCACTTCAGTGCTTATCGCTTCCATGATTCACCAAAAGAGCTGCATGTGGCTCCGCTAACTGAGCCTAAGGATACACCAAATTCACACAGATTAGTATAACTTTTGGGCATTACAATATGCCTCTCATTAACATTCTAGGCATGCTGCTAATCTCGAATTGTGGACATAAATAACGTCCATATAGTGCCGAAAAGCTGACGTCCATTATCAGAAGCCCTGCAATAACATAGTTTGTTCTTGTCACAATAATATTAACTTCAATGAAATGGTCAGTTTTATTTTCAGGAAGAAAATCAATTGTTTAGATAACTCTTTTACCTATTGGTTGAGTAGACAGATGAATTGATAGAAAAATAGTTGTTAGTGGCACCCTGAGTTTCCACACAGTTCGTGACCTACTGCAGTTTTACAATCGGCGTGTCTCCATGTCTGCACTGTCGAATTACACAGCTTGTTCGTGTCTGTGTTTTGTGTGTGTGACAGTTTCCAGTGTGGCCGCCAAATCGCCCAGCTGAAGGAGGAATACGAGGAGAGGATAAAGATCCTGGAGCAGGAGGCTGCAAAGCTGAGACGGGTCAGGATTGCACAGTTTTAACCAGCAGGGGGCTCCCTGCTCCACAGGGTTCTGCCTGTATTCTAAATGGATGTGACATGTGACTGGGTATAATTCAACCTTTAATACTTAATGCTTTTCTATACCGTTAGCTGCAGTGGCTGCAAAGAATGGCCTTAGTTTTATGTTTGGGATTGTGCTGCCCCCTTGTGGTTCCACATTTATGTGTCATATCAAGATGTTTTGTACAGGCTTTTGTGGGTCATGTGTTTATTCTAGTAAAAAAAAAAAAAATACTACATCTCCTCTTGATTTCTGGTGGTAGTTGTCTGAAAAAGTTCAGTAAACATGATGGTGAACCGGTAACTAGAGAAGGCACAATATAATTTTTCCTGGTCTGATCCTAATATAAAAATTTTGAGTATATACCGATACTGATGCCAGTATTTTTTCCCACTTCATTATCTCCTAAGCAGTAAATGAGATATTTGTGTAAATACATTTCATTTAACATGGCGGACTACCTACATTTACGTGTTGTAGCTGCACTGTTTGAGTACGCTGAGATTAGGAAAACGTAATGGTCATGTGGCTCAAACAAACGCCACGCCTCTCGGCTACAGGACGAAATCCACGACCAGCAAGGTTTACACAAGTCTGCTTTTTTTTTTATTCGGTAACAACGTTCACAAAAAAGAATAGAGATGGTTCTTAAAGTGCAAACTGTGCAGTCTGTTGCCAAATTCATACCAATACCACTGTATAGGCCCCCAACTAACCCATTTTTAAGTCAAATTTTAATGTGTTCAGACTTAAGAAAAATCAGCACTGGTCTGACTTGCACTGCACTCTGCAGATGTGCTTTTTTCCCTGCAGCCCCCCTTTACATTCACAAGGCTTAGGGGTGGCAGATCACCGCCATTGTTAAAATATGCAATAAATACTTGGGTACCCTTAACCTCAACCCATATCAAATTACATTGTTATTTCCTATCAAGACAGTTTTATATAATATAAAAACCATCTAAATTATACCCCTGTTTGTACAGTTACTACTGTATGTACTGGGAGCAGTACGCTTAGAACCTATTATTATTAGAAATGCAAAATGAACAGCACTACAATCTGACAGCTAACATGTGCGTGAGGCTGGTTACTGAGGCACAGTGCTGTACCCAAGCCAACACTTTTAACGTTAAAGATATAGTGTGTACTTAACTAACAAATATTATGTATACTGATATTCATGTATTGTATGATTTAATGTGATCCCATTTTGGTATTGTTTTTTGACGTACACAAGTTTCTGCGATCTTTCAGCCAGCTCCAAAAATATTCCCATTTTATCGTTCACAGCCAACTCGCGATTAACCAAAACCGCGAATGTCAAATTACGCGCTAAGGCTACAAGAATTTTCACGATCTTTCAGTGTAGAGCTATCTCTGGGAGAAAAAAAAAAAAAACAATTCCGCCCCCCCCNCCCCCCCCCAATGTCCAATCCAGGATTTTTTGCCAGTATCGGCCCAGTACTGATAGTGGGTATCGGATCAGTGCCATCTCTACCGGTAACCTGTCTGGTTCTTGGCACACGGCTGGCGTTAGCTCAGCCTCCCGGTGAGAGACCCGAGTCCAGAGCATGAATCAGACTGATGCATTGGCCCTGGGAACCGGACATCCTCATTGCCTCATATCTGTTTGTTTCTCTTTTCAGAACCTGCTGCAGAATCATGAAACGGGGAAGCTTTCGGCCCGGGAGGATGAGGGGGCGGCCACCGGAAACCGGCACGAGGAGGCAGAGATGAAAGGTAACCGTGACGATCGCCCTGCTGACCAAACCACAACGGAGGGCGTGGCTTCGCCAACCAAGACGCATGCTTCCCTGGGTGATGCGATTCTCACACTTTGTGCATCTGACCTGGGTCATTTTGTCAGGATTTATTAGGCTAGTTACCTGTGGTGTTTTAACCACGGCAAAGTAAATTCAATATTTAATATTACCTGGCACAAATCAGTCTTAAAATGTACTTCTAATTCTTTTGAAAATACAAAAAAACACCTGTGGTGGTGATTAGTTATTGGCTAGCACAAGCATTGTCTCCTAATTACCTGCTCATACCTCAGGCGACATGGCCAAACCTGGCAGCGACGCTGGCATGCCCGGCATCGAGGACAGTGAAGTTGGAAAGGCAGACAATTTGGATTTTGGTAAGACATCAGTTTGCTCTTCACCGCATCCTGGACAGTTTCCGTACACCCTCATAGGTAACGTATTGCACCAACGGCTCCTTCCCCAGCCCCAAAGAAGCCAGCCATCACCCAGAAGCACATCCCCGTGAGCGAGGTGGGGGCCGATGTGGGGGAGGGGGCCGAGCCCGCCCAGGATGTATCCCAGGAACGTCACGACCACCCGGGTGACAACGCGCTGGACCTGGCGGGTTTGGAGCAGCACAGCCCTGGAAACGAAGGCGCTGGCCTCCAGCCTCTGCAGGCCGTGGCTGACCAGCCGGTCGTGTTCGACCAGGATAACAAGGCGTCCGTCCGCGCAGATGAGCTGGGGGAGCACCACGGGCAGATCAAGGGTACGACTGCAGCCGCCCTGCTCGGACCTCTAGGTGTCCTGTCTGTATACTTTGTAGAGGAGACAGCAGCCAGCCGGTGCCCCGTCTGCCTTCCTCCAGGGTGGATAAAAGTAATATGCAGACCTCTGTACCTGAAAATGACACAGCAGTGAGCAGCCTCTGACTGGGAAGCTGTGTTCCATTCGGACTGACAGCCAGGCTGTCACAGCCTTAGGGAATGCGCTGCTTTAGGACAGCAGCCAGGGGGCGCTCTATTGCAAGTCAGCAGCAGAAGGCATCTTTAATTTCCAGTGACTCAAAATGCTGCCTACAAATGCTCGCAGCCTTAAAAACATGTCACTGTGTGGTTGTAAATATTATAACTAAACTAGTTATCCTTCATGAGCAGGATTTACATATTTTTTTTGTTGTGTCCCGGGTCCTTGAGGTGTCTGGTAATGAACAGGCAGACATGGTCACTAAGAATAATGATAATAAACCATACAAACCTTTGCTAAAAGTACATTAATGAAAATATGGTAAAATTCTCGCACTTAACCATGTCATTGCTAATGGAGCAGCAGTCAGTTTTAAAATGCATTGGGACCCGATATGAGGTACCTGGTCATGCACATGACCTTCCTTACAGGGGAGGGGCCCCCCCCCCCCCCCCCCCCC